GGGGCCCGCCGCCCCGGCGCGGCAGGGAGCACCCCTTCCCTCTCCAGCCCCGGCTCTTCCAGCTTGGAAGCCGGGCGCCGGCTGCCAAGGCACAGCGAGCAGCTCAAGGGCCGGTCCCGGGAGCCTGGGAAATGCCCCGTGCTGACTTGGGCCGTTTCCCTCGTGACAGGGAGCTGCCAAGCCGGGAAATGCAGCCTGGCCTTGTTTCGCTCCTTTTGCATGTGCATGCAAGCTGGTGCAGAGGGCACATGCGCTCGCTGCACCCGCCAGCTTTGCAACAGCCCTGTCACCCCACTTGGAGGGAGCACAGGAGGGTTTGGCACCTTGTTCTGGTGCCTTTTGAGCATCCAGCACCTCTAGGTGCTCTTCGTATTCGCGCCGTGTGAGATGGAGGTGTCCTGGAGAGGCGCTCCTTTTGCATGTGCATGCAAGCTGGTGCAGAGGGCACATGCGCTCGCTGCACCCGCCAGCTTTGCAACAGCCCTGTCACCCCACTTGGAGGGAGCACAGGAGGGTTTGGCACCTTGTTCTGGTGCCTTTTGAGCATCCAGCACCTCTAGGTGCTCTTCGTATTCGCGCCGTGTGAGATGGAGGTGTCCTGGAGAGGGAGACAAGCCTCACACATTTCTCTGTAGGCTTCGGGCATGAAAACACCTGGATCGGGCTCAATGACCGGATCGTGGAGCAGGACTTCCAGTGGACAGACAACACCGGCTTGGTGAGGCCAGCCGTGCTGGGGGCGAAGGCGTGGGGTGTACGGGGTGCGTGGGGTGCCAGGCGCCGGGGCACTCATCCTCTCTCCTTTTCCCCCAGCAATATGAGAACTGGCGGGAGAACCAGCCTGACAACTTCTTTGCGGGCGGTGAGGACTGCGTGGTGCTGGTGTCCCACGAGATTGGCAAATGGAACGACGTGCCCTGCAATTACAATCTGCCCTACATCTGCAAGAAAGGCACAGGTACCGCCTGGCCCCAGCCCCAGCATCCCTCCGGGTACCATCCCTGTCCTACAGCTCTGGCATCCCTCCCCAGGCACCATCCCCATCCCACGGCCCCATCATCTCACCAGGCACCATCCACATCCTGTGGCCCCGGCATCCATCACAGGTACCATCCCCATCCCACAGCCCAGCATCCCTCCCCAGGCACCATCTCCATCCCATGGCCCCATCATCTCACCAGGTACCATCCCCATCCCATGGCCCTGGCATCCCTCCGGGTACCATCCCCATCGCATGGTCCTGGCATCCCTCCTGGGTACCATCCCCATCCCACAGCCTCATCATCTCACCGGGTACCATCCCCATCCCGTGGCCCTGGCATCCCTCCAGGTACCATCCCCATCGCATGGCCCTGGCACCCAGGGTCCCTCCCCATCCCCTGGCCCTGGCATCCCTCCCCGGGTACCACCCCCATCCCACAGCCTCATCATCTCACCGGGTACCATCCCCATCCCACAGCCCCATCATCTCACCAGGTACCATCCCCATCCCATGGCCCTGGCATCCCTCCCTGGGTACCATCCCCATCCCACAGCCTCGTCATCTCACCAGGTACCATCCCCATCCTATGGCCCCGGCATCCCTCCCCACATACCATCCCCATCCTGTGGTCCCAGCATTCATCACAGGTACCATCCCCATCCCGTGGCCCTGGCATCCCTCCGGGCATCTTCCCCCTCCCACAGCCCCGTCATGTCACCAGGTACCATCCCCATCCCATGGCCCCAGCATCCCTCCCCACCGCTCCTGGGCACCTCCTCGTCCTCAGAAAACCTCTCCCCTCTGCTGCCCTCACAGCCCTTCGACAAGGAAAACTCAAGCAGCTTCCCTTAATCTCCATTTTTTTTCCCCCACAGCTTAATTCTTCCCTCTCCACTTTAATTTGCTTAATTTGCCGCCATTAAAACTATTAAGTTCTCATTCCTTATCTTGAAAGTTATATTAACCTCCAGCTGTTCGTGCCGAGCCGGAGGAGTACGCCTCCCGCTCCCGCCGGCCACGTGTAATGATATATCTGTCCCGATAAGGCCATTAATTAAATATGTAAATCCTCGGCGAACACCTTGGTGCAAAACTGTCGGAGGAGCCTCTTGACGGACGGGATTTATAGCCAAGCCGTCCGCGG